GGCGTGGGCCAGGGCTTTCTCTCGGAGCTCCAGATCGGCCAGTGTTTTCTGCAGCTGCTCCTCCAGCAGACTGAACTCCAGCTCCTGACACAAACACACAACAGTAAAATAACCAGCATTAACAATTAATATAATAAATAAACCAGTGAGCCATTCATCAATCATTAAATGATCAATAATAAAATTATTATCCGAAATATTAATTGATAAATAAACGTGTGATTCAATCACCACTCATCAAATAAAAAAAATATACAGCTCATACTATGCTGAGTGTGTGTTGAATGGTTATGAGTGAGTGTATTTGTATATGTATGTGTGTGTGTTGAGTGTTAGTGTGTATGTATGTATGTATATATGTATGCATGTATGTGTTAAGTGTGCATGTGCGTTAAGAGTTTATGCTGAGTGTGATAAGTGCATGTCTCTGTGTTCGTCTTTGAGTGTGCATATGTGTGTTTGTGTGTGTGAAGAGTATGTGTATAAATGTGTGTGTGTTTTGACCTTCTTCTTGATGAGCGCCTCCCGCTGGTGATCTCTCTTCCTCCACTCCTCCGCCAGCGCCTGCATGTGGTTCAGCTCCTTCTGCTTCAGCTGAACACGCACACACGCACGCACGCACACACGCAAAATTCACAAGATTATTGTTAATTAGCAAATAATAAAAATATGTGACCCTGAATGACAAAATCAGCCATGAGCGTCAATTTTTGGAGATTGAGATTTAAACATTGCTCGAACGCTGAATAAACAAGCTTTCCATTTATATCTTGTTTGCTAACCTTTAATCGAGAAACAAAAAAAATAATTGTTAAAAAAATAAAAAAATAAAATAGACGCAGAGAAAATCTAATTCTATTGTCAGCAATCCATATTACTTAGATAATAATATTATATATATATATATATATATATATATATATATATATATATATATATATATATATATATATATATATATATATATATATATATATATATATATATATATATATATATATATATATATATATATATATATATATATATATATATATATATATAAATATATATATATATATATATATATATATATATATATATATATATATATATATATATATATATATATATATATATATATATATATATATATATATAAATATATATATATATATATATATATATATATATATATA